CAGAGACAAGCAAACTAACCCTGAGATATACTTTCGTAAAAGTAAAATTACAACTGAAAATCAGAACATACAAGTCACTCTACATGCAATTCTTAAACAGTTAAGCGGTTTTTAATGTTTTCACTGCCTTTAATATGGTTCATTATTTCGAGACGTACGTCTTTTTTAAATGATAAAGCATTCAGTTGTTTCTAAAATCTCGGTATGGTATATCTTGATCGTAATACATGTACGAGTATATCTTTAAGATACCATATAATCATTAAAGCAGCACGCCTCCAGATTCATGCTTATTTTCATAAATATTTTGAAAATATATTCAAAAGTAAAATAATGCAACGTTAACAAAGTAAATAATTTTCATATTTCAAACTGCACTTACAGACCATAAAAATACCCTAAAGAGGTCAAAATATGCAGAATTTGCCCGCACTGCGTTAGTAACGCATTAGAAAGATAATGAAAAATACTGCGAAATTGGTCATAAATGGCACATAACATGAAAATTATTACATTTAACTTGAATCCTTTTACTTCTCTTAAAATCTCAGTAATTTTTGTCAAGTATGATTTTCTTTAAATATTTTGGCTCAAAAGGATGCATGTAGCTTAAAACTGTGTTACGTAATATTGGCTCAATTTAGAAAATAATTATAGTTATTTTTGGAAAATATTCAGGAATACATTTGCTAAATGAAGATGTTTTTACTGATGTGACATTTTTGCTTCAGATTTTAGCAAAAACACAGGATGATGAATGCTATTTTGAAAGTGTTAGAATACGATTTTATTCCGTCTTTTTTACCAAAAATTAACAACATAATATCTTGTTTGTTTAATATTTCAACGATCAGTCACATGCACCATTGTCCCTTACGTTTCATGCAAGTAGTCAACTACGCAAGACTACAAACAACTGATAACATCGGAATGAACTATAGTAAAATATCACGTGCTCAATAGCTTAGACAAAGTTTGGGACTTTGCAGTGTATCGCAAACATGATGTTATCTATTATGAATGTTATTATTTATTAAACAAGGGACAATAATATTGTATTCTTAACAAAATTTACAAAAACTTTACATAATCAATACGCGTGTCAGCATACACATTACGTAGACATGGCAGACATTGAATTGAAAGAACGCAACGAACTTGTCAAATCATTGGTAAATCCGGCATTGACGATGAGTACCATTTCAATTTTATCATCAAGAATGCCCACACCATATTTTTATAGGCGTCGTAACATGCACAAATTCACGCAGTTTACTTAAATAAAAAAATATAAAATAACGTCGTTATAAGAAACCTTTCAAAATTTATTTACCTTGCTAAACGAACTCATACCGGACTGATAAGTACGATGCTATAAGTAAAAAATTGTTGTATTTGCCTTTAAAGTTTTACCAGAAGAGTAATGTTGGACCGAGTCCAATGAATTTTTTTCATTCGCCATTCACGTGCCTAAAATAGTACAGGTTAATCAATGTTATTATCAGTTTATTACTAACTACATAAATCTATTTTGTACTCGTATTATCAGTAAATTTAAGCTGTAAAGCCAAAATTTACTTTGGCCCTTTTTAGGTGTGATCTCTCGTCAAATGTAGATTTTTCAAAAATGTTAATAATTGTTCAAATTATTTATACATATACAAGTGTCACACTTCGTTTAAATATATTGAATTACCTGACATATTTACATATTAGCACGCAATGATTGTGACATTGTTGATTTTATTATATTATTTCTTGTAACAACGAGGTACTTTATGTGTACAAGCTTGAAGTAAACTTTTCTTCTTTTTCGTGTTTTTTTTCCATATTTTAAGAATGTCAATACATGATCTGCTGCAAAAATTAGAGTAAAGTAAAAGACGAAGTTAAACATAACCATTGCGATGCTATTATCTCATGCTATAAACAATAATTAGATTAATAAACATTTTTTACTTAACAAATAAGGATGACTTAAATACATTATTTTTGAATAAGAATTTCATGTTTTAAGAAAAGATAACTTAAACACTCGCCTTCTACATCGCCTCATTGCATCTTAGTTATGTCTTTCTTTTCTACAGAAATCGAAGAAAAAAAACAATACTTTTTTGCATCGTATACAATTAGAGATGATACCTTTTTGCGTTTGAAACATACCTCACTTTTCACTTGATTTTAGGTATTTCAGGCATGTACATATTTTTATCGTGTATAACTGAATTATCAAAATTATGTTTCATCCTCTTGAATAATTAACTAGTAGCTACTTGTCTTGTTTCATTAAGATCTATGAGATCCTGCTGTTATAACACTGACTAAGAAAAGGAGAGAATTCATTTAAGAACACTTAAGTTACTTAGTGCGTTATGATTCGATATAATATATAAGTATATTTGAATGTGTTTAAAGTGACATGGGTAAAGTAAATTCACACAGTGTCTTGAAAGTTCAAGCTTGTCTGGTATAGAATACTCCTGCTACAACCTTGTATATATCCCACTTCAATTTGTTATGCATTACATTATATATTTTTTTCTTTTTTATAGAAATTTATTTCAATATCCATTTCGGTATCAAACAATGTTTATTTTCTCAATTCCAGCAACGGTGCATCTTTTTACAACATCAACGCAGCAAAACATCGTCAATTAATTGATTGCCAGAATTAAGCCAGTAATTACCTGCCAACATTTCCTTGTCAGTTTTCTAATGCTCCTCATTTTAAGGAAGCATAAATGTATTCCTGTCTGCTTTACTTTACTACTAAGTATTATATTGACTTGACTATGTATATTTTCATTTCAAAGCAATACAATTAATCCAATACAGTTCAATGTGTACTTCTAGGCCGATAAATAACCATACCACGATAATCCGTGATTGTCACTCTAAATGCATACATATTTAATATTTTATCAATTCAGTTATAGTATGGAATGTGTAACATTTAATGATGAAGAACTTTGCCTTGTGAAATTTTTTATTATTCTAAATGCTCACGCCACTTATTTTATCTGAGTCAGCAAACGATTTACAAATTGCTATTAACCTATATAAAAGTAACTGTGACATATGGACATTTACAGTGAATACATCTAAAACAAAAGTTCTTGTATTTTCAAAAGGTAGTCGAACGCAGTAAAGTTTTACATCTAGAAGTTGTCGAGGAATTCAGTATTGGTAGTTTCCCAAAAGCAAAGACTTATATAGCTAACCAAGCAATAAAAGCCATGTATTGTATATCTAAAAAATAAATAAAAAAATATTCAATTACCTTTGGATATGCAAAAAGATTTTTTGGGAAACTTGTAAAACCAATTTTATTGTACGGTTGTGAATATTTGGGGTATGGTAATAACAGTATACTTGAAAATATACAATTGAAATATTAGGCCTTAAATCTAGTATACCTAATTGTATGGTGTACGGCGAATGTGGTGTTGAATCAATTTCTCCAGAATTATTAATTTTTGGTCTAATCTAGTTGTATCCAATGAATTAAAACTATCTAGCACGTTTTATCAAATAGCTCTTAAATCTTATAATACAAGAAGCAATGTTAATAGACAGACATTTCTGTGGTTTAAGCGTATTAGATATATACTTGTTAAATGTGAAAACCCATATGTATAGACCTGTTAGATGTCTCCTAATCATAAGTGGTTATGTGCTAATGTGAAGCAAAAATTGTCAGATATATTTCTAAATGACTGGTATTGTAGAGTAAACGAATCGAGTAAATGTAAAAATTATAAATTATTTAAAGAAAAACTCCATTTTGAACCCTATTTAATAAATACACCAAAATAACTCACTAAGATATGTTATTCAGCAGCAGACTTCCTATACAAACCAGAAGTTAAAATGATATAGATTTGTTTTAACGTAATTGTACGTCTATTTCCATTTTATTTAGATGATTTGTATTATTAGTATTACATTATCATTTTTGCATATTATGCTTTCCTCTTGATATACTGTATGTATGTGTGTTATAGCATATATTGTCATGTGTGTACAGGAATTGAGTTCTGAATTAAACTTTAAAACTTTGTTATTGAAATTAAAATTGATGTAGAATAAAAAGTATGATAAAGACACTTGGGTTTTCATAATTTATTTGCTTGTTATTTTTTCTTTTTCATTGATACAGAATAATTTAAATACAATCAAAAATAAAGACTAGAATAACATAACAATTACGATAAAAAGAGAAACAATTAATTGTAATTAATTTTCAATATGTAAATTCAATAAAAAGTTAATGAATAGTTTTACAAGAGACCCATTATCCTTGGAAAACAGGTTTCTATGTCAGATATAGTGTTTCTTATGTAACCTGTAGAAACAAACTTTAAATAAAACAAAAATGTTATGTTAGTATGAACAGTAACGTCACGTATAAAAAATTTCTGGAAATAAATATCCTCAAATATGTATTATATGAAAATTATTTGAACTAAATCTTAAACATGACATGTTAACTCAGTAACAATAACAAATCGGTATTTTGATTGACAACCCAAAAAGGTATTTAAGAATATTTGAAAAAGAAATATTTTTGTGAAGTAAATTGTTCTGCCTAACTTTGTATTTAAAATATTTTACAAGAAACGTATAAACGAATATAAAAATAGAAAAGAACATTTAAAGATCAGTGCGAATAACAAGAAAAATCTCAGAAGTAGGAAACAATTCATAAAAAACAAAACAAGTTGTTTAAAACGTCTTTAAAACAATCACATGCTGAACAAACACATTGCTCTTTATAATGTTTACATTGTTGCACAAAATGATCAAATCTCATAAGTAATTATTATTCTTACTGTCATAAGACAGTGTGTCATTAATTAGATCTTATATCATATTACTCATCGTCAATTATGTATTGAAAATGTGTCATGATTTTAAATTTATTTACATGAATTATATGTACAATCTAATATGGCATATAAGCAGAATATCTAACTCCTTTTAGATGTATAAAACGTGCATTTTGATGGTCAATCATGCATATAACATTGACACCAACAGCAAGAGGTCGTTCTTTTATTTGGTGATATTTTACTAGTATAGTAGGCGTTTGTAAGATATGAGGGTATAAAATGTAGAAAAATGTTTCGGTTGCTAATAAACCGATGTAACTGATTCAAAATAAATATAAAAAGAAATATCAATTAAAATAAAAAAAAAATGTACGAAGTAAAAATAGCTTACAGGCTTGTCTTTTATGTTTTGTGAAATGTTTCGGGAAAATGTACAATACTTTTTTGGTCCTAAGACTATCATTGTTAATTCAAAATTTCAGATTATTGATATTATACCTTATTATACATAATTTGAAAAGTATTGCGTACATACATTTTCGTTAACAACAACTAGTGATAATTGTTTGATTTTATGCCTACGTCCGAATTATATTCAAAATATTCTGCTAAATAATAAGACATTACAAAGATTTATTTCATTATAAGTACATTTCTTTGATTATACATCACAAATTTACATGAATTATACATGACATACAAAATATGAAGGAATGTAAATTTTATAATACGATAATTACATCAGTTTATATTGAAACAAATGTGCAAATAAATAATCGAATTCCATGCTTAGAATTTTCGTCAAACATCAGTTAAAAGGTTATCCCGTATTCAGACAGTAAAATTATAAAGCAAGATTATGTAACATTTAACAAGGAGCATTTTAAGACAATGTCTCCAATCATCATCGATACATGCAGAATGATAAAAAAATTCATCTAAAAACCCTCCAACATTGACGTCAATTAAACCACCCTTAATGGAGTGATGAAAGTTTTGATATGTACATGTCAATATTAATATCTTAAATTAAACTGATTCGGTAAGTAGCAAAAGTATTGAAAAAGGGGGAGAATACTATTTACTTCTATGTCCGTATCCTACAGACTAAGAATGCTTTAAAAAAGATACAATTTCAAAAAAGCGAACCATGGAAACATTTGTATATCATAGTATTTCATATTTCAACATAAGATTCCGCAATTCTATATAGAATATGTGTAGTTTTTCAGCTGTAAGAAATAATAACTGAAAGAACCTTACTCAGTTTAAGTTAAATTTGATCTCATATCGTCCATACCTTTCTTTAAAAAAAACAAAAACAAAAAAAACATTACTTTTTACCTTTTAAATGCAAATAAACAGTTTCCAGTGAAAGTAATACGATCAAGACTAGACATTAATAAATGAACTTTGAAGTTCATGACTGTTGATCTATTGTTTGTTTATAGAAAAGATACGTCCTCAAAGTATTTCAAGTATACATAGCCTAGATAATAAATAGATATGTTCAAAATAATTAATAAGCTTTAAATCAAACGTACATTTAACATAACAATAATAATACTATAACTTATATTTCTCCTGACATTGTTAATTTATATTGTCAGAAAAGCTCTAATACCCTCTGCATTTTTTGTTTGCCTTTCACTTTGTCCTCCTCCTATAATTAATACAACTAAAAGAGACAAAAATGAATTGTCCATGAAAATAGTGATAACTTAGTTATGCTCAGTGATTGGCAAAGTTTGTGTAGGCGCAAAGATGTTCTTTGAAAGAATAAAATTTAGCGTGGCAGGAAGATTTTCACCGCCGTGTCCAGCTTGAGGCGCTCATTGCAGATAGCATACAAAGCATCTCTGAAATGGCAAAAAAATTATATAATATAGATATATCAATTTGGAAAACATGTAGCATATTATTAAAAACAAAATATCGATTTATAATTGTCGACTTTTATATGTCACAATGCAAAATCTGGAAAAGTGAAGATTCCTCGGAAGCAATAAATATAACAAAATTATACTAAAATTGCAGTCTCGTTTTGTTTGAGTCTGTTAATTTGAGATAAAAATGCAACCCTAGCACCGTCTTAATCTGATTCAACCGTAAAATCTAAAGGTGCTATAATCAAAGATATCGAAGGACCAGAAAATACAGCACTGCTGAGTTTCTTATCTACAAACTTATTAATTATTATCTTATTATTATGTTAATTTATTTATCTCGAGATTTATTGAGATACGATGAGTTGGTGGAAGGTAAAAAATACCCCTCTCTGTTTGCATGTTTAATGGATTAATCATGAAACAATTAGGTGCTGACATTAAACTTAACAAATTGTGTTTACTTTTAATCATGTCATGATCTCCAAACACAGAAACACAGGTTCAACAAATCATGGTCCTGATTGTGCCATTTGTTATTTGTTTGATGAACATTATTATATTATATCAATTAATTAATATACCTGTGGGAAGTCAACTTTGATTGAGCATTTTCACTCATATCAATCAAAATATGACGTTTCCTGAGGGTATAAACAGTTTACAAATGATTGCATCTCATAATGAATGATATCCTCATTTGGTATACAAAGTAATTTGAGAATATTTGCATGTTTTAATACAAATAAAAAAAATACAATTGATCATCATACCATCAGGATTAAGTGTGCCATCGTGGTCTAAATCAGCAATTTCAATAAAAGATCTTCCGTAAGTTTGAGCAACGTAGTCTGTGTAATGTACCGTTTCTCTATAAAATGAGGCGATTTCATGTTCGGACAGAAGACCGTCCATATCCTCGTCACCAACAAGAAACATCATATCTCTTAATAAACCGTCCCCAACTGTGATAGGTGAATCACACTGAAATATAATAATAAAAATAATAGTAGATGTATTATCATTATGTATTATGTCATCCTTCATTTATTTCCTTATTGCAATTTCAAATAAGAACCAAATTACCATTACTAAACTGAAAGAAATACAGGTACATGCAATTCAAATGTATATTTCTATTAAAATTGCTTTTTTTATCAAACTGTACCAGCTAAAAATTGCTTTGTTGTAAACACACAAAATTACTTATCAATATGTTGTGCTTAAAAAAGATTTGATCGATGGATACTCATTTTCTCTAATTAGAAAATTCATTAAAGCACTTAGCATTATTTTTTTCAAAATGACTTGGTGATGATAATAATGTACAATATGATTAAAAATTTCCCCATGGACAGTCGTATAAATGGTTTTAATAAAACAAATAATTGCCCTCAAATGACCGCCAATCTGCCAATTGATTAATTCGTCATTTGTAATGTTCTCACTAAAATACGGGTTTTGTTTCTTGTAGCACAATCATTAAAACATTACACATATATGATTTATTGTGGCAAATCATGTGATTAGATGTTTTATCAGATACAATCAATACGTTTACGTGAATCAGTTACTAAATCGAAACCTCTTAAAAATTTAAGTGGAAAACAATAGCAAAATATAGGGGTCCGTCGACAGCTATGACAACAACAGTGAAAAAGGTAAAACTTGCAGACTCTGTTTGATGTATTATGTGTGTGAACGGTTATATAAATGTATCATCTCTCACTCTCCATAGCATATGCTTTAGCATGTTTCCATCTTTAAAACAAACCGTCTTGAAATCAATGGTCCCGAAGAACCAGAAAATGAAAATACAGTTTTACCAAAAATGATTGCACAATGGAGTTTGTTGGACTTAATTTAACATAAATTGGCTTCAAGACTTCTATAATATCTTACTGTAGCTGGAAGTGCATTTGAAAACAATGTTTAATTAAAATACTTACAAATAAATGTATAGGCAAGTGTTGCGATCTTTTTTCTATTGGTGCGGCCAACGAAGACCTTGAATTGAGTAAAAGTATTGCCAGTGATAGGACCACTGTTGTCATAATAATTTCTTGTAAGCTGTCAGTTTTTAAACCCTTCATGTCTGAAAATAAAAGAAATAGGATAATAAAACCATAACAATGAAGACTAACACCTTAACCACTAGGCACCCATAGGCTTACTACTTGATTTGAATATTTGAATCTTGTGCTTGTACTCAGTAATACTTCCAGAGATTTTAAAGAGCCAGTTCTCAAACAAAGTCCTATACAACAGAAGGTGTTATTCTAATCTTTATTGAAAATGTCATTAACATCAGATATTGTTTCTAGATTGAAAATTGCTTTGATATATATGAGCAATGTATCGTTACAATTACTGGCTAAAAATGAAGTGAATTGTGTACAAACTCAACAAAAAATGCTTTTAGTTATTGAGTTGGAATACCATAAAAATCTATGTATTTTTAAGACTTAAGTATAAACGGTCGATTCAGTTAAACGGGATTTAATTTTTTCGTTAATCATTATGCGAATTTTTAATAATTTATTCATTTTGTTTGCAGCATAAAAGTTAATCTCGTCTAAAGAGTATTTTTCTTCAAAACACAAGTGTGCTCTCTTTATGTCTTGTTTGTTTTGAAACCTTGAAACTTTACAGATTTCCATGAATGAAATAGTTTTCTGCTGAAATATTTTATCAGGAACATTCCACCCACTCAGAAAGTTCATATGCTGCGATATAATGGTAAAATAGATAAACAATCTTCCTATCGCATGATAGATCGGATATTTGACAACGATACCGCCATTTTCTTCACAATATCCGCTTTTTATTACTACTACGCAGTAAGAAATAGTGCGTCTGGCGCGCAGTTAATTATTCTCGTGCCCATTCATTCACCTAATGCTAAATGAAGTTTACGAACTGGCATACTTTCCTGTTTCTTAATTATGATTAGAATCTGATTGATTATTGACTCATAAGAAATGCGGGGTATGAAAAATGGCATCACGTTGACGTCATCGCAAATGCATATGCTACTGATATAATAACATTCAGTACTTATTGGTAAACTAAATTTACACCTCTGGAAAACAAGTGCAATATGCATCATAGTGTATATCGTAGAATTCACTTATACTATAAAGTTCTACTTTTCTGTGGAAGCTGTCAATTTGGAAGAAATTGTTTTCGTGCCAAGTTGAGTTTTCAACCATTATGAAGTTCTCCTTTAATGGAGGAAATACTGAAGCAAAACATTGCTGAATGACAATGTATTACACGAAATAAGCCTTTTTTTCTTTTACTGTATTGCCTATTATGCTATTAATATGAATTACATGCACTTGTTCAGTTTAATTGTTTTAATAGTAAGGTATAATGTACTGGTTGAACTAATGCACCACGTTAGTAAGCATTTGTTGACATTTTGATAGGTTTCTCTTGTTCTTTTTGAAAACTTTGAATGAAAATAATGTAAGTAAAAGGTTATGTATGTAATCTATACTCTTCTGAATCGTTTACATTAAGTATATAATCATTCGTAAATAATGTAATGTATCAATCATTTATAATAAAAAATATATGCATCGGAGATACTCGGTTATTTGTATAAGATTAAATAAAAATACCATGACATCAGTATTTTTCGGCTTTAACCATAGAATTGCGTTCCTAAATTAAGCGAACACGTGTACCGCGTCTCACGAGATTCTCGGAATGTAAGTCTGATTGTTTTTCTTACCTTGCGACCAGCCAATCATAATCTCGCTTGATACAGACAAATACTATGTTTACTACGTACAGCAAACAAATTTACAAGGCCGGTGGCACGATCAATTTCTGTATGCCCTAATTCTAGAAGACATTGAATGACTCAATGTCAAATTGATTAGGAAGTTTAACGCATACGGTTAACGTTTAAAGTCACGAGAAAAACGTGATTCCTAAACAACATGTCAGAAAACGAAATGTTCATTTCTATATGCATAATATTTTTTGTTTGATTAATTCATTCAGACTTAAGATGCTTTTTTTATCTCATCAAGAATCTTAAGCATTTACAAAGAATGTCAACTATTTCAGACAAATGGAATGTTGCTTTGATAAATTGTATATTTCTGGCAAGTGATTTAGTTTTGTTTTTATATTAAATCATTTTAATTACAAAGAATGAGTTAAAACCAAAATGTCCAAGTTATTGCGTAACCAATGTCATTTTTGTAAGACAAATTTGGTGCTTCTGCACTTAGTCTAAGATATTAACTACATTCTCGGAGTAAGACTTTAGAAATGTGGCGGCGCTAGTCGGACTCGGTGATAATCACACGTCGATATAACAAACCAATACAAACATTTCAGAACTTCTGATTTATTTCATATGTCGACATGAATAAAAGTTACAAAACATTTTTAAGAAGTAAACCATGTTTTACATCAATGACGTCATCAAATACATAAACTTTTGAATATTTTGGATACTTTTATCATTCCTGCATTCTTTTCCTTGATGTAAAAATAGGTTTGAACGGTCAGTATCAAATAAATATAATTATCAATGACAGATGCAGCCGTTACACAGATAAGTTTGATTTGTAAGAGATAGTATTAATTGATTTTTCTATTTACAGATTTCAGTGTACAGGTAGACACCGATGATAGGTTTCTGTTTGCAAACAAGACTGAACGCTAACGCGGTTAATGAACTTCCGTATAAAAACAAACGTATAAATATCCCCGCTATGTTTTTATTTAACATTGCCCTTGAGACTCCATCCATCTGTTATGTAATCACATATCTGACTCAGACAGATTCCTAGCTCAGAAGAAATTGCGTAACAACAGTAAAAAAAGTTTATTGTTACTTATTTATTAATTTATTTTACTGATGTTGCATGGAATATTATATTTTTGACGGATTGCGTGTTAAGATTTCATAAAAAGACACAAAAGTAAAGTTTAATTGCATTTTCACGTAAGAAGGTCACGATTTCTCAGTTATTATGCACCGTGTGTAGAAAATGAAGCTTTTTGGTAAATACATTTAAAATACATTTTATTTCTTCAAATATCTGTTGATTTCAAACATCGAGATCTTTCAAACACGAACTATCCGGTTTTTTATTGTTTTTTATCACGATGAAATCAAGAATTACAAAAAATACAATATATCGGTGAATCAACATAAGTACCATATAAAAAGCTATTAAACTATTTTTAAGCTGATTGATTTACAATGGGGAAAGTATTTCAAATATTGATAAAAAATAGAAATGTATCATTTGTATATTCTTATAAATGTTTTCTTGAAAAAAAAATGTTGATAGAGTTCTAAGTGATGAAGTATGAACATTTAAATGATAAAAAATTTATATTTTGTTCTGGAACAATTTATTTTACTGATATGTAAAATCAGACTTTGTATCTAACACTATCAACTACAAAACTATATAGAATTATTTCGTTGTTTGTTATCATATATGATACTATAAATATTATAATTGATGGTGTTACAGACCTTCCTTTATAGACCAATTCACTAACCATGGTTCACTAATAAAATAATACATGTACGTACAGCAATCAATGTTGATAAAACAATAATTTACATGATCTTGTACATGTTTTTTTTTAGTTAATTTCACCAGAACATGTATATCCTATACTAGTATGATTTCAAGTGAAATAGTCTAGTACGGTCAAAATAAACTAATACTATCGTCCTATATTTAATATAATCTTTCAAAACGTGCTCAGTGTGATATAATAAAATAATAACATAAAATAACTATTTAATACATTTGTGAAAGTACAACATAAAGCAATGTCTTATAAAGAGATTGGTGATTGACAAAAAAAACGGCATTACAACAAACTTTTAGAAAATCTTTGTACAGCTGTTATCTATATGCTGATATAAAAATAATTATAATAAAAACAAATATGTGACGTTTCATTTAAGGACGGGTACTATCAACATAACCACCATTTCAACATCTTCATCTTTCACATAGAAAAACTCTTTGAAATCAAAGTATTTCTATATATCATTCTTATATTCTGACTTGTTTTCATAAAACAAATCCTTGAGACTGAAACTATAACCTCGGACTTTGATATCGGTCCTGCTAATTTGAACATTAGATTATTTATACCATTTTGATAGAATCGTCCACGCTTTTAAATGAACTAAGGAAATAATGGTTAAGAATTACCATAATAAATACAATATCAGTTAAGAACTAAATTGATTCATTAAAATAGTTAATCATTATAAATTGATCACGTTAACATTAAAAGTCCACTTCGATTTTCCGAAAGGTTATTAAAAGTCTTTAAACTTAAAAAAAAGTGTTTTTATCATATCTCTTATTTTCAAAATATTTGCAAAATTTAGAAATAAAATGATTTGGATTGCATAGCCAACGCATCCATGTGCAGGTAAGTTTTCTATCAACATAACCACCGTCTCATCTATTTTTAATGACACATACAAATTCCATTCAAATCAAAGTATATGTATCGTTTCTTAAAAAAAAACAAATTTTAATTACAATTGCAGTTAAGACGATAAATTTGACATTTATTTTTCATGAAACATCTTGAAATGATATTAAGCATTTTTATGCACTCTTATCTATCTTATGTACTCTTATAGTGACGTTTTACGATAGGAAAAGAAACGCAATAAACAACATGACCTTGAAATTTATATTCTGCGTAAAATCACTGTTGTACATCGTGACTGTGACCGATTAACTAAACTCTTTTCCCTTGAAAAATCATTTTCTACAATGTTCTTACAAAAATATCTTACTCACTTCCATCGTACGTAGCTTTTCATTCATGCTATAGAATTTTTACAGGGAATTCTGTGCGATGTATTGTGAAGTTAATATATAGGTTAATTTCGTTGAGAGTTGATTTTTGTTTTTATTTAAAATTTCTCAAATAATATTTAAAACGAATGCCTATCAATAATATAATTCAGTTTGTTAGTAACGTGGTTAAAATAAAACTGTTGTTGAATACATGTATTGACAAATATATTAGGAAACATTTCAAGTAATGTTTCAATAAGTATAATAATATCATTTATTATACAAAATTGTATCAAAGCGGCGTACAAATTTTCTTTTCTTTTTTTTAAAGATATATAAAATCTGTTCGTTACTTTCAATACATTATGAATAAAATTATTTCCCTATCTGAACACAAATCGTGCAAAAGGCCTGGTTAACGGACATCATTGTCTCATTCGTAACTCACTCAATATGGTGTATACCATTTACAATTCATACTATAGGATTTAAAAATTCCTGTATAATTCCTGTATCATTTGAAAGTAAATAGCAGTTATCGGTTTATCATATGATATTACGACGAACAGCATGCGATGCAATGCTAGACCTACGTTTTTGGTGAACATTTCATAAAATAACGGCAAAGTATTTTCATCTTTAACCAAGTTCCTTAAATGAATGTAAATATTTTGTAAAGGATTAATTTAGACATATACACAAGGAATTAATGAATATTTTTAATAGTGTCTTAATCAATAATTTAAGATGACAGCATTGCTGAAACTTATTTCAAATCAAACATAGAGGCATGCCATAAAACCAATGGTCCTTCTTGCACAAGTATGATTGCCAGAAAAGTAATATTACTTCAGGTATTTGACAATTAAATATACATTTATATCTATAGTAAATTATATACATTTGATATATAAATTAATTAAGTATAAAAAAGTTATTAATTTAATCAGTGTACTAATTCAGTCATTGTATCATCTTTCAGAATTTCAATATCAATATAATACACTGTGTTAATATCAATATGATATAGATCAAGTATTAGATTTTCATAATAAAAGGAAAGTTCGGTAAAATCAATTTAGCAATTTCATAAAAGTATTTCCAATTTATTGCAGTTGCTTTAAATAACAAATTTTGAAATAACTTTCAAGTTATTAAACATGATAAAAGTTTATTATATATGTTTCACTGTTAAACAGTTATTATGTAATTTATCTCTCGCATTATATTATTCATTTATATAAATACGCTGTTTGAATTAATAATATTCATATAAATACACATTTTTATTCATAAACAATGTAATTCATTTATATATAAACAATATTTTTAAGCTACGATATAATATAATTTACCAATTTTAGACGATAGCAAAGGCCTAATTGTTTGAAACATATTGACCATATATTATATGTAATTCATATCGTTGTTAAAGCCTAACATTAAATCATATTTTCATTGATTGATACAAATGATAAAATAACTGTAATAAAATGAAATGAAATATATTTCTTTTTATAAAATAATTCTGTTTTCTTTTGTCTTTTCAGAAAATGTACTACCAATTTGTAATGTTATAAAATTCTACAAGACAATATTTTAAAACCTAATTGTATATATTGTTAATGATTTAGTATTAATATTAATTCAATAGTCTTATCATTATCATTTATTGTGAAATGTCATTTTTTGATAAAAATGAAATAATAAATAACGATCAGACATTTTTATCGGAATCTAAACTAAATAATATGAACGAAGACCTACTTGTAGTGTGTTTCTACCTGGAGTCGCTTATAGTCAGTAAATGTCCGATGTTTCTCTTTCACCGTTGAATGTTGTTTTGACGAGAAGGAAGCTTGATGTTCACATTTATCTATTCTCCACAGCCTCGACGCTTATTCCGTCATACCGCTCCTGTCTGACCGAGTTCAAATGTCGTCTGCGGGGGTCAGAAATTCCCGCGCAAATTAATAACTCGCTTCTGGGGAAACATTTCTGGATATTGGCATATTACTACGCGTGAGGTAAATAGGTACAATTTCTATACTGAAAACGTAGAAAGATATAATTATTAATAAACAATAGGATGAGTTATTGTTTACTAAAAAATAAGAGTTCGGTCGTGCACCGGAAACCTTGAAAAAGGTATTGACTAGAAAAAAATTACAATGTGTTTGTTTTGCCCATGATGAAGCAAATTATATCCTCACGAAGCAGTATATTTTGCTGAAACAGTTATACGATTTCAATAGTTGTTATGAAATTGATGCTTTCAATTCATTCCTGGAGCGTTCTTAAACTAAATGACAGAAAGTTACGGCAAATTAGTTCGAATGTTGATATTTTGAATAGGCGTTTGAAAAGTAATTTGTGAGATAATATTGATAACAATATTTGAATATTTAATACAAAAACAAACTAAATTTGATACTGGCAAATAAAACAACAACAACAGCAACAATAAAAAACAACAACAAATAATAATAATTATAATAATAAAATAATTTCTGGCATACAAATTAAAATGGTTAAAACATTGTCCAACTTTTTATGATTTTTCCTTGACATATTGTTCTGTAATAGGCTGGTCTCGTGATCTCAGATTGCTTTCCGTACAGAGTTGAAGGCTTTTGATGTTGTTATTTAATAGATTAACGTCGATGTAATGTAAATAAACCATCAGAAACTTCATTATGATGGCAAAAAAGTGTCACAATTAAAGCTACATGATCTTTACCTGAACACCATTCTGATATATTGTCTCATTACTAATTACTAGCGTGTCTGTGAATATTATTTTCACTGCTAAAACGTGTGATATCAAAATGCAGGTTCATTTCCCTTTTTGCATCAATATTTACGATATATCATGTCTCATTTTAGATATTGTGTACCATAATCAGAATATGTCAGTCGAGGTTATATTAAAATATCAAATAGATACAAGAAAACCAAATTGCTTCATGCAGAAAAATTGTTTTAATAAGGTCCTTCCCACATTGAAGGCGGCAAACCTTGTTGACCGTATCATTTTGGCGCCAAGTTGATCTATTTGAGAAAAAAATATCTGTCAAAGTTATTTTGTTATTTAGATATCATGCTTTAAAGTAGCAAACATTGCGCTAAGAAAGATTTTTATTAGAACATTTGATATGCCTAGATTCCAAGACCTCACAAACACGGAACTTGATATTGAGATCACACGTTCTTTTCAATTTGTCAACCAAATTATAGATAAAATAGCTGAACTGGTCCGCTGTGAGTAGTTTATCAATTAAACTTTCATGAGGAAATTTGAGAAAACACAACAACAACAAACAGCACCTCGTTATTTGTCTAGGATTTCAAAATCACTACTTTTCAGTAGCTTAAATTTGTCCTTGATATAAATTTTGTAAACAAGTGCATGTCTAGCTTTTAAAAAAGATTCAAGGAAAGGACTTTCTAAACTCACGCTAGTGTGAATACTCGCATTTTTGACAGTCCGGAATTCTGCATAACCTTTCATTATTGTCAAAGAATGGAACGATGTAATATCCGTCGGGGTGACAATGTGAAAATATTATAAAACCGTGAAGACCTTGCTTGCCTGGATCATAGCAAAATGTCGTCTTAGACTTAGTTGGCTTTCATTTGAATAAAAGGATATAATAGCATTATAAGATTTCCCATTATCTAACGCAGTGGATTCAACAGTCTTCCAAACCTTGTCCATCTTATTTTTGATGTATATTTAAGTAGACTTGATAAGATTGATTCAATTTATATCACACTATATATAGCTATTATTTTCTAATTTGGATAATGTTTTATATTTTGTTAATGTGTTTGTCTCAAGAGCTTTTTAAATGTATCCTTAGCAGTTCTGAGTGAAAGGGAATGGCTGAGTCCTTAACTGACTTTGTGCACCGGTACGGATTTATCAATTCATTCAACATATTTTACCAGCATGTTAATATTCACAATTAAAGCGCACTTGTTAACCCGATTCATATGACGTTATAAATTTCAATTGGAGTAAGTTTGCGTCTTGCTTTTCAAATATCATTTGTTCTTAATGTTTCCTTCATTTATACTACAAATGTTAGACTAAAAATATTTGTTTTTTTACTTGATTTTTATTTAATATCTAAAGTGGCTATTCAGATAAAAAAAGTCCACACATTGCCCTTTCTTTTCAAAACAGTGCCATATCAACAATATCGACCGTCTGAAAATGTACCCCTTGCTGAAAGTAAGCCCTTTTTTGCCAAAGTACATTTAAAGAAAAAAAATGCAGCGGTGACGTTAAAAGCATTAAATAATTGAACGATATATATTTTAATGTTAAGTGATTGTGTGAGCAAATAAATCTTGCACTTACAAACATGAGTCCTTTTCTACCAACATGCCGTGATAAAACAGCAGTCAGAACGTTTATCTCGTGAACACAAGCTAGGATGCTGGGATTCCATGGTACAAAGTGGTTAAGATATAATTGTCTTAAATCAACAACAACAAAAAATATCCGGGGGAAAAAAAGTTGTGTGAGTGAACAGAAACTCATTGGATATATAAAAAAAAGGATTGGACAGTTGAAAGATCCTAAGACATTTGAACCGGTCGACATTTAGATACCGTACGAACTTTGATTGTTAAAAACAAGTAAATTATCCAATTATTTCATAAGTCGAAATGTTTTTGTTTATTTGCAAACAATTGTACTTTTGTGAAATCCTAAAGGTAGGAATCAATGTACTTTTACCATAGAATTTAGAAATAATATTTTGAACTAGGTTTTGAACAATAATGTTCTTTATTATTAATTATTTGTAACACTTATTCAATTTTCTCACTGAACATATTTGATCTTGTTAGATCTTGACATTAACTATTTTCAGCACGTGGTGGTGTCTTTCTGGAAATCAGATGGACCTTCATTTTTCGTACAGTTAAGTTTTCATGAAAATCTTGAAAATGGGACACACATCGAGAGCAAAGAAAATGTGAAAATTGTATACTGGGTTTGAAAAAAAAGAAACCACAAAAGAACGTCCAAAACGGCAAAACTAAAATGTGCAGATTCAATTCGATTGTGCCTGTTCATGGGCGGTACTGGAAGTGAAATCTTCCATCAAAACTCCCTAGTGCTAGGAACATCCGCGAAAATCTGAGATTAAGTACGTGGTGCCAACGTGGTGCCACACGTCACTTCACACAAAGTTTGATTTCAAACAATTTTACTAACTGAAATTGGTGACATATATAAACAATTGAAGACAACAGATAGTTTATATTTTATTTCATCAGATTCATTAAGGAGTGAATGAGTCACTATGAGTTCCATTGAAGAATTATGAGTTGAATAAATTACACCGATTCCTTAACAGGGAGTAGCATATTGCTAAGACAGCTCAAACTTTCGTTTTTGATGTGTAGCATATTTTTGTAGTTTTCTTGTTCTTTAGGCTGTTTTCACGATCTAGTTTGTTCTTGATTGTTTCTTAAGAGGACAACAAATAAATTCACGAATATGTTACATTTTACGGTCCGTTATTTCGGGTGTCTTGTTCGTCTCTAATTTGCTACTTCCTATCCCCGCAAGTTAAGTGAAACTCCCCCATCTCAAAACTACAGGTCATCTATGCGTCACATCAGTTTTGTTTCTATGAATCATAAAAACCATTCCACCTCCAACTTATTAAAGTTGACTCTATTAATTATATAATCTACGAAAAGCACTACAGCTTGTCATATTCTGCCAAGATAACGAGGAACGTGATGTGTTAAATTTCTGTATGAAATTATTTCATTATAAGCGTGGGAGATATCTTAGTTCATGAAGTGCAATAACTTACCTTTATATCTGATGCAAGCTGAAATTTCTGATTGGATAAGGCATTTCCGTTGATACAAATGTAACATGTTTACATGAATTGTTTGAACGATTTATTATCATGTCAACCCATTTATTGAATATAAATCTGTTTTTATTCAAAGTTTTATTGTTATTCATAAACTGAATCTCGGGAAGTGGATGTAGATTACTAAATCTCGTGGATGGTAATAATGGTTGGAAAAAAACTTGATAAACTTCTAGAAAAGAATTGATCTTCTCAAAATGTGGCGGTGGTTTTACCTAATCTACATTTCATAAACACAATTAAAGATGAACTACATATTGATAAAAATTAATTCCACCAAATTCTTATTTAATTGTTGAATACCGTTAAGACCGGTGCTATGGGGTGTTGACGAACCTTGCAATAACCACTACCGCCCACGATCAGGCTCAATTATACCAAGCCTGCAATATTTTCAATTATGTCGTTTTTGACGAATTCTTTAGAGATTCTGATTTTTTTTAGTATTTCGTAAGTAAGATAGACATTGAGGAATTAATACCTATATCAAGATATAAAGAAAACAAGAACAACAACATTGTTTTAAATTGATGTATCATCCAAATTCATTTTCTATATATGCGATCGGGAATTGATCTATTGATGCTGCATTTGGATTGAAACGTTATAGAACAACAAATATGAGATCAAATACTAGTAGAAGAATATACATAGGTGAGACAATAATGTGGAAGATAAATACATATATATCAAATGTTTGATGATTTTCATAAGTATGTTCATAGGGGTCGATGATTTGAACATTGGTTGCATGGACTACATTATATAACACATCTGTTGATGCCACGGTCCGCTCATAATCATGTATGCAAGCCTTTATCACATGTCCTAAAATAATCTTAATAAATACAACATTGTAAGGCGGCGTTCAATGAACGCTTTGTGAGCCTTGTATTTCATTTAAGAGTAGAAATGCATAAAAAAGACATATCCAAAAAGATCATGCTAGAATTGTTATGTCTTCTTGTGTCATTTCACGGAACTTCATTTAGTTTTACGATAACAATGACGTAAAATACTTGATT